CTTTATTCTTTTGCATGTGGTTATCCAGTTGTATTAGAGTGTTATGTCTTGGAGAGGAATCTTTTTGTATTCTTTGCTGCTCAGTGTTTAGCATTATGCACATTTTAAACCTAATTACCTCTAGGAGGTATGTGGTCCTTTCACAGGACCTCTCACAACACTGTAGCTTACTTTTTAAAGCCAGGAGGAAATCAGTGTGACTGATAGACAGTCTTTTAAAAAGCTTACCTGATTAGGTCAGGCTGATCCAGGATAATCTTTTTTTACTAAGTCACAGTCAACTGATTAGGTACATTAATTATATATACAAAAAAACAAAAACATGTTTTTTGTAAGGTTACTTAGGCAAAGGAAGGACACCTGTCATTTTCACAGGTTCTGCCTATTCTCAAGATCAAAGGATTTATACAGGAGTATGGGGCATAAGGGTCATCTTACCTTTGTACTTACATCCTTTTAAATAAATGTCCCTTTAGTTTTTTATAAGAGTTAAGTTGGTACCTTAATCTTTCACCCTTATCCTACTTTCGTTTTATTTTTACATGTATTTACATTTTTTTCTGTATGTCTATATGAAAATGATGTTCACTATCAGTCTCTGCTGAAGTTTTCCCAATCTATATTTTATCTGGTGAAATTAATCCTCTAGGAGCTTCCTTAGGAAGTGGTCATGGGTGCAGAATTCCCTAAATTCTTTTATTTGAAAGATGGTTTGGCTGAATTTCTTGGTTCGCATTTTCTTCCATTGATTTTTCTAAGAATCAGTGTTGTACTGTTGCCTTACTTTGGTGGTTTCAAAAATCTCATGCTAGTCTAATTCTTTTGACTTTGTAAGTTAATTGTTCTTTTTGCTTTGAGGACTTGAGAATTTGATCTTTATATATGATATTAGTTTTACTAGGATATGTCTTAATGTTGATAGTTAATTTTTTCCAGGTACTCAGTGAGCCCTTTCAATGTACAATAATCCAATTTAAAAGCAGTTTTTCTATTTTTGGAAAGTTTCCCTATAGTTTTTAAATATTAGCTTTGTTCCACTATTTTATATTTGCTCTTCAGATACACTGATATAAATAACATTCATTATTTGCTTATCTTCCATTTCCACTTTCTGCTTGACCCTTTTACCTCTTTATGTCACTTCCTTGGTGGTTTTCCTTTCTTTCTTCAATGCTCCAGATAAAATTTTCATTTCATTCTATTTTCCTTATGGTACCTTGGACTTTACCCTTTACTTGGAATTTTGTTGTTCCTGTGCATTTCTTTTCTGAGTTCAATCAAAGTTTTTTCATTTCTTCCTCCTTCTTTTGTCTATTTCTGTTCTTAAGTTTTTTAGTGTGATTCTGAGTAGTTCTTCACATCCTCAAATTCTGTTCATGTATTTTGTTTGGAATTTAGACTTGTACATTTTTTGTTTTGTTAGTGTTTTTCAGGAAGAATTTTCCTGTTGTTTGTCATTTCATTTCCTGATTTCAGCATTAGTTCCCTGTAGGTTTACTTTACTCTTGTTTTTCTTGTGATACTGTGATATTTAAGAAGATTTCTACTTTAATAGGACCTTTTCTGCTGAATGGAAGCAAAGTTCAGATATATTAGCATGTTTTTGTGTGTGTGAGAGATTAATTTTCCTTTTATTATCAATTTCCAAAGGCCTTTTCTTCCTTGTTTTTTGCATATTTCTCCCCTAGAATATATGTATTTGGAATACTCCCTTTAAATCATGCTTACTCCTTTAAAGAGACTGTCCCTTTAAATTACAGGTCATCCTTTAAATAGCACCTAGTTTGAATCCTGAAAGTCCTATGATCTACCTAGGTATTGTTATTGTATTTTCAGACTGGGCCAGTTTTAATCTTGCTGTTAGTTGCTCCAATTAGTGTCTTTGCTAGTATCATTTCTGGGTCTGCCTTTGCTTGCCACAAAGCCTTGTAGCAGTGAGGGAGTGGGGCAGGAACAGATGAAATCAGGCACTGGGATTTGTTTTGTCTCTTTTTACTTACAGTTATTTTGCACATTTGGCATTTTGGTCTTTAAATATTGTTGACAGTTTGGTGTTGCATAGAATTGTGGTAGTTGTACAGTTATTTCATCATTTAGGGAGGATGTTTTGGTAGTTTGCTTACTACACACCCACCACTGACTTCAGCCTTTAAAAAAAAAATCATCTCAAAGTATTATCTTTTCAAAATAAAAATATGAAAAAAGGAATATGATTGATTTTTGACTTATGACACTAATTGAAATTATGATGTTTTGATTAAATTTTTAAACAGTATTAGAATGTTTATGGGAGGCTTGCTTCACTATAAATTGAATTACCAGAGTTGTTTAATTAGTTAGATAGGTTTTTTCTTGTGTTACCAATTTGTGACACATCTGAAATGCTTAATAGATAGAGCATATTAAATATACAAATGAAATTTAAAATGTTTGCAGTTATTTAATATTTAGGACTTTAAATAAACTGACAGCTTAAGGGAACTTTATTTGGCTTGATTTTAGAAAATTAAACATCAATCAAAAGAAAAGAACTTCTAGGAAAATTCCTAGATTTATAAAGAGGATAATGAAGTGTGTCTTTGGAATAGCAAAACCTATCTGAAGAAACGAGACAGCAGTTTGGGAAAGAATGAGATAGTATATGGGTGGTCTTGATGATTAGCTTTCCCCTTGCCCAACTCCATAATTTCCTTTTAAAAACATCACTTTTCCCAAGCACATCCTGAGTTTCACGCCTCATTTACTGTTTTAGGCACTTCTGAGTACAGGGGAGAACAAGACAAAGTTCCTAACCTAATGGACTTTTATTACAGAAAAGAGACAAATTTAAAAAGGAACCAAATGTATTAATAATTTGAACTAGTGATGTCATAAGGATAAAAAAAATGTTGGATAAGAATGTTATTAGAACTATATTCAGGGAAGGCTTCTCTGAGGTCCTAATATTTAATCAGATCAGAATGAAGTGAGGGAGAGAGATATGCAGAAGATAATTCGGGTGGAGGACCTAGCAAATTGCAAAAGCCTTGAAGCCAGACAAGCTTGGTGTGTTTACAGTATTACAAAGAGGCCGCTGTGACCACAGCAGAGTGAAAATAAGATCAGAAAGACAGATGTGGGCAGATCACAAGTGATTGTGGGTCATGGTACAGAATTCGGATTTTATTATATGTGCGATGGTAAGGCGTAGAAGCATGGTATACGACTGCTTAGACAGCCTCTCCCTGGTTATCTGGCTAACTTTCTTTTGACTTTCAAAATCCTAGCATCATCTCCCGTGGGACATATTCCTTAACTCCCCAGATAAGGTCAATCACCTCTTCCAGAGCAATAATAGATTACAGGCCTCCTCTCACACTTCTGGGGAGTCTGTTGTTTCCCAAGTGCTGCGTTTCCCAAATTCTCTCTGCTACCAGAGGAGGGGTTTGGGTTTCAAGGATACTCCCCTGGTCAAGAATGCCTCTCTGGAGACCCAACCTCCTAACTGTCCTGTGCCTTTGCACGGCTCTGTTGGTCCTTCCCGGGCCCTGTGATGGGAGCTGGGGGAACCTTCAGGCTTTCCAGTCTTGAGTCCCAACGCTTCCGACAATTACCTCCCAGGCCTAGTCCCGCAACCGGCTCTCAGCTTTCCTCCTTAACAACGTAAGTCTCAGAGCGACGTCCACCGGCACAGCATCCAGCGTCTTGCCACCACCCCTCGCTTCACGGGCACGCCCCCTCGGCCCGCAGCGCCCCCACGGCTCCGCGCCCCACTCACCGAGGATGCGGGTGATTCCCAGGGTGAGCTTCTCCAGGTGCGGCTTGCTGCTGCCCAGCGGCGGGGGCGGTGTCTCCTGCATGGCTCGCGTCCCTGACCCACGCGCCGCAGGGGCAGCGGCCGGGCCTGGGCGGGAGAGAGGGGCGGGTCGGATGGCTGGGCGCTGCCTCCGAGGCTCCGCCGTCAAGTTCACGGCATGCCGGGACTTGTAGTGCTCGGTGCCTGAGAGCGCGGCGAGGCGTAGATGGGGGTCCCGGGCTGGTCTGGAAAAAGTTCCGCAGGGCACTCGTGGCTGCAGCCCCGGAGGGACAGCCACCGCACGGCACCGGGACACAGCTACTTCGCCCGGCCCTGCCCGCCCCGCCGGAGCCGGACGCGCAATCGGGGGCGGGCTTCTGCGCCGTGCGGCCAATGGGGGCCGGGACGGGGCGGCCCCGGCGCGGCGCCCAGGGTGGCGGTTGTTTCAAGATGGCGGACGCGGAGGTTCCCTCCCGCCCCGGCGCGGCTGCGTTCTGGAGCCGCGACTGTATCTTTTGCCCACCTGGCAGGGCGCGCCGGCGCCTTTCCCGGTGCTACGAGCGGTTGCGTGGGATTCTGAGAGGAGGGGAGAAGCTCGGTGCTAACCCCGGGGGTCCCGTCCGGCCGCTGTCTGGGTGCCGGGCTTTCTCCTTGCTTGGGTGTTAGGTGGCAGAGAGCCTGATACTGTCTCCGGGCTGGAGCTCCTGGTGTGGGATTTCAGCACAGCTGTATCTCACCCCTCCTTGGCGGTGAGCTCTGGAAAGATGGCCTACAGTCTTGGCCCAGCCTTAGAGCTGGAGGGTCCTGACCTCAGGCCGGCTGAGTCTGCGGGGTGAGCTGGTGGAGGAGGGATGGGTGTTGGCTGGAAAGGGAGCCTTTTTGTCGCGGTCAGCGTTGTTAGGAGCAAGTCAGGACCTCATCGACTTCGGTAGCCTGCGAATAATGATTTATTTTCGTGCTGAGGTTTTCGGAGAGTTGTGGGGCTTGGTTTCACGTAGTGGTCGTCTCGTGGTGTTGGTTACAGAATAAGATACGCTGCAAATCCCAAGTGTCTGGAAGTGGTGTTGATTTACTTGTAAATTGCGGATCACCTCTGGTAGGATTCAAGGTCTTGGTTTGTTTTGGACTGAAGAAGCCGTGGAGCATTTAACCTTGCAGTAGTATTACCATTTCAGTATCTGTGATGAAATATGTGACGGAACTGTTTATTTCCCGAGGTTAAGTAGATTCTTCCAGCCTGCTCTTTGGTTCTGATAATTTAATTGATATATGTTAGAGGAGTATTACATGAAAGGAGAGCAATCGGTGTATTGGGTGTTTACAGAGGCAGGTCTTGTCTGTTTTCTAGGGTTCGTGGTAGCATTGTTTGAGGTATTGCTGTTAACTTTGGCAGAATCATTATTTGCTCTTATTCAACTTATCTCCCTGAGAAGTTTACAAAATTATATTATCACTTCCCCTTACTGAATTACTAGGATTGAAGTGTGCGGAGAGGGAGGGTATTTTTACATTAAGTGCTGCTCAGTGTTTAGTGCTATGTACTTTCTAAATATACTTACCACTTGTCCTTGGTAGGTTGGGGAGAATAAAGTGAAGTCATATACACTATAGAGGAAATTACACCAGGGCTGGGGAAATTAAATAATATTTTTATTTACCCATCACTAAGAATGCAAAGATGTGCATGGGAACAACTGAGCTGAATTAGAATTAGGAAATTAAGATGTCTGTTCTCACGAAACACTCCCTCTGCAATGACAGAATTTTGTGATAGAGGAGATATTCGAAGGTTATTAGGTTATAATGTGCTCCTTTAGTGTAATCATTTTCATAACCACCTATGTGGTTTTAGCTATTATTCCTTAACTTTCTCTATGACCAACGGTATTCTTCAGATAAAGTATAAATGGTGAGTGTGATGAGGAAGAGTCTATTGCAGTGGTACTGATTAAGTTAATAGGTATGTAAAATGAACCTGTGCTCTTGATCTTAGCAGCCCTGTACTCTCACTTATTCATTTATATTACTCTGTATTTCATATAGAAATCACACATCCTTCTTTCTTACATTCTCCCTTACTCTAAAAATTAATGTAAAATACTCATCTTCCCATTGAAAGTGAGGAGTTGAAATTATATGGGAAAGATGGTAGTGATTACATTCTATAGAAATTCAGCTGTATGAAATGAATTTCAGCGTTAAATAGTATCACCTGTCTTCCCTGCCTATTCCACAATGACCAATTATCATCCAACCTCAGTTATTTTCATTTTAAATTTCTATAGGACATAAAAAGCAATGTCAAAAGTAAATTTGTTACCAAATCTTTGCTGAAAAGCATAACCATAGCTTTGAATCATTTGATTCAGTCATGTGTCCTTGTATCTTGATCTCTTTTCTTGTCAACATTGATGACTTCCTAGACCACCCTGAAGTCTTTATAGTAGAACTTTCTATAGAAAAAGCAAAGAGTATATACATACAGTCTGATATTCTTTTCACACTATTGTAAGAAAGATTTTCAGTGCTTTGCCCAAACAACTAGAGAAGTGTGGTAGATTTCCCAGGCCTAAATGTTTCCATCATGTTATGACAGATCATCTGTGACTTAATGTCATGGTTTTTATTGTTCTTGTAAGTCGTGCATCTCTTGCACAGATTCATTGCTTCTGTTTTGCACCAGGAATGTCTTTATACTTAATGCGTAAACAATGAGTAAGCCATGTTGTTATTTTGTGGGTTAAATCTGTGAAGTAAAATATGCCCCTTCAGCCTTAAACTGCATTCTTCCTTCATTATAGTTCCAGAGAATATATTTTTAAAAAAAGTGTTTTGCAATATCTAAATCTGATTGCTTAAATGCATTCGATTGTGTTCTCATTAACAGTATTATTCATTTGATACTGTATTAACGAATATAAACTGTAAGGGGCCTACTCATAACATTGCAGTAGCTACTATACTTTCTACCATTGAGTTTTCAATTAAAAATAGACATTATACTGATATTAAAATAATAGCCAGCAAAGTCATTGGGATCACTAACAATTACATATACATGTGTTGCTGGTAAGTGATTCAAACTCAAAAGGTTAGAGTGGGCAGTAATTTTATTTTCTTTCAGATCCTGGTGATCCAGGATAGATATACTTATTTCTACCACATCTGCCTCAGGTTTCTAATTACTGTTTTAATTTTGGGGATTTGGATAGATTTGTACCAGTATTAAGGATGCTATAATTTACTGTACGTGTGTTACTGAGGCATTTCCAAAGAAACTAAAGTAGAACTAAGGTGGCACATAGAGCCCAACAAGATATCCAATATACATTTGGTATGTATTGATTGTATCTTCTGGACTTTCCCATAAAATACATGTTTCTTGGAAATCTTGCATTTGAAGAAGGTAAATATTTGGATTCTCAAGATAATGAGATGAAGATAGATTATTAGTGATTAGAAAAGATTAAGAAGGTTGGTTTGAGGCAATTTCAAACATTTTTGGTCTTATTCTTTAAAACGTTTGTTAAGGCCAGTTTATTTAGTGTTTTTATATTTGAAAAGAAATTTAGCTAATGTTTTTTTTTTCTGCATAATTTGAATGGCATTGCTGTGAGAATTTTCCTCTGCCTTTGAAAGTTCTCTTGGCTGGTCTAAGAATTAAATTGACATGAGACAGATTAACAGAAAATCAAACTTAATTGTGTATGTATGGGGAATCCACATAAACGAGAGATTCCCAAGGCACTCAGACGAAATGAGATATATATGTCATAGAGCTAAGGAGAAGATGGGGATCTCAGACTTCAAAAGGAAGGAAAGCAATCCACCGGAAGATGAAAGGAATAAATGTTTGGTAAACAAATGTTTGCTGGGCCCCACAGAAACAATGGGCTAGAGAGGAATTTTTCGAACAGACTGCTAAATTGCTCATTGTTTACCCCCCTAGTTCACATTACATTGTAATTTATCTATGGTGATAGCCCCCTCCTGGAGCAAGTCTCTCTCCCTATTCTTTTAGGCATTTAAAGGGAAGGTCAAAGTTTCTTCCTGAGTCTTTGGAGCCTTGATTGTTTTCAACTTGAAATAATCCACTGCCAAAGTGACACATCTTGGGGCAGTTTGTTCTGAACTAATACAGGATAAAGAGAGAAACAACATTTTAAATTGTTGGATAATATGCCTCAGAAAAAATTAAGTATCAATTTTGTTCTTTCATGCATGGTTTACTGTGAGCCAGGCATTCATTTAAGAGATGTTAGGAGGTAAGATGAACATAACAATGAAAATTCTCACCCCATTAGTGCTTACATTTTAATGAGATGCGTTGAGGACACAAAATATTTTTTATGTGCAGTGATTATAGGTGCTGTGGAGAAAAAGTGGAAAAAAGGTAGCTATCATGGGGGTCTTTTGCAGGTATCTGTTTTTATGCCAATACTGTACTGTTTTGCCTACTATAGGTTTGATATAGTTCAAAATCAGGAAGCTTGTTACCTACATCTTTGTTCTTTCCTCTCAAGATCACTTGGCTACTCAGGGTCTTTTGTGGTTCCATACAAATTTAGGATTGTTCTATTCCTGTAAAAAATGGTATTGGAATTTTTATAAGGATGTCTTGCCAATGGGTTTCAGCCCTGGGCAAGTTCACTATGGATTCAGTGTGACCAAAGTTCTTGGGGTGAAAGGGTTTATGCCTAACTTTATTTCCACGGTGGCAGGTCAATCACTAGAATCCCATGCACTCAGAGAAAGGCTGTATGCAGCAAGCTGGTCTCTGCCACTGGGCCTCTTTACCCCGACAGCCTTCTCAGTATCTGTCCTCTTGGCTGCCACCACTCCAGTCTCCTCTCTGCTCTCCTGCAGCTGTGCCACTGTGTGGCCCAGACCACTGGGTGGAGCTCTTTATAGAGTCAATAGCAACGTATTGCCCACACATGCGTAGTGTGCTAGCTGACCAGGGCCAAAGGAACCTTCACCTTCATCCACAAGGGATTACACTGAATCTGTTTGGGTAGTTGTTTTGGGTAGTGTAGACATTTTAATAATATTCTTTCAGTCCATGAGAATAGAATGTCTTTCTGTCTGTGTCTTCATTTTCTTTCATTAGGGTTTTACCAGCATCTTTTCTTTTCAGTGCATAGGTCTTTCACCTCCTTGGTTAAATTTATTCTAGGTATTATAATCGTTTTGATGCAATTTTAAATGTTTTTTTTTCCTAAATTTCTCCAAGATTCTGTTATTAGTGTATAGAAATGCAACAGATTTTTGTATATTGATTTTGTATCCTGCAACTTTATAAATTTGTTTATGCTAATGGTTTTTTGGTGGAGTCTTTAGGGTTATATATATATATATATATAAATCATTCCATCTGCAAATAGAAGTTTGTGGACATCTACAGTCAGTTCTTCTTAAACAGGAAACAAAGTTTTTAGCTCAGAGTAAGGATGGGGGAAGGGGTGTCAGGTTTGAAAAGAGATGAGAAAGTATAAAATACTTGAAGAACTTCTGTCTTGCCAACGGGGTTTCAGCTCCTGGCAAGTTCGGTATGGATTCAGCGTGACCAAAGAAATGACAGTAAAACGTTCTTGGGGTGAAAGGGTTATACCCAACTTTTTTCTCGTGGTGGCAGGTTAATCACTAAAATCTCGTTCACTCAGAGTGAGTCTGCATGCAGCAAACCGGTCTCTGTTTCTGGGCCTCTCTATCCACACAACTGTTCACTAGGCCAGCACAGTGGTCCTCTGTCCTCAGCACTGGCACCACTCCAGCCTCTGCTCTCCTGCAGCCTTGCAGCCGTGCCACCGTGTTGCCCAGAACACTGGGCAGGACTCTTTATATAGAGTCAATAACGATGCATTACCCACACGTGTGTAGTGAGCTAGCCAACCAGGGCCAGGTGAGAATCCTGGCCACAGGCATTTATCTGCAACTTCCAAGTCAAGGTATGGTTGAGTAGGGTCCCTGGTGGTTGGTCTCTTCCAGCTGTGAGCAGGTTTCTTGGTGAATAGTCTAGGGGAGTGTACTTAAGACTCAGTTATGTTTTTCTTTCCATAGCTCATCCTTGGAGAATATTCTGCAAATTCATCATTGCTGTATCTTATTGCTGCCATAAGGGGCAAGTCTTGTATCATCTTGGATTTTTTCCCCTGGGTACTTTTTCTCAGGTGTATTTGAAACAGCAGATGATTAAACATTTATTGAGCACTTGTGTGCTAGATGCCAAGGATATAAAAAATGACTCAGTTTTTGCTGTTAAAGAGCCTGTACAATTTTATTTTGTAAGACTTTTTTTAGATTGGGTGTCAGTGAATTTACAAATTATTGCTCTGCTTGTTAGTTACTATCAGTTTTCTTGGACTAATGGGGTCTAATTCTTTTTTTTTTGCTTCTCTTATGTGTCTCTTAAAATGAAGGAATTTATAGTGTAGGGCACGAGGTACCAACCAAGTCTTGAGACTGTGAAAGTGCTTATGCTGCGCCAAAGAGCTGTTAGAAACCACCTAGCAGCTCAGACAATACAAAGCACCATCTTTATATTCCTCAATTCCTATAGAGATTCTAGGCATTCCAATCAGCATTCCTTGAAAAGTTTCTTAACAAGCGTTGATCCTGAACTGAAATATGTTGACTTTTGAATGTGTTATTAAATCTACTATTCACTCCAGACTTTGCCTCGAAGGAAATAGTTAATAATTGATTTGCCTAGAAATCTTAGGAAAGAAAGCATTTTGTAACAGAATAGAACAGTACAGAATTTTCTATATTATTTGGAAATTTGTTTAGATACCTCCTGAAATTGTCAGAAGGTTACCAAATTTTGGACGTATCTGGGTTAAGATACAGTTCTAAATAAACGTTTGTTTCTGGAAAGAAAGCTTTCTCGTTATACTCCTTCTATAGCAGTGTTTTGATCTTAGCCTTTCTAAATTTCTCCTTTTGAAATTCAAAATTGTTCTTTTTCTTTTTAAATTTCTTCCACTTGTTAAATAGTAGGGCTTGTTGGGACTTTTCATGAGTGCACTGCAGAAGAATAAAAACTGTTTTTGTGTTTGCATACTTGACTTGCCCTCATTGTTTCTTCTTCAGTGCTAAAGCTCATTTTGAAGTGATTTATTCATGTCTAAAATAATTTGTCAGGTGTCCAATAATGAGCGAACTAGAGTACTTAACTCCTTGTGTATGAAATGAAAGGAAACTAATAGTAGAATTTATAGTGTAGGGTATCACTTGGGAATAAACATGGAATAAAGTTTTATGAAACAAGGCCTTCTAAAATTTTCATAAAGCATATAGCTGTGTGTATATAAAGATGAACTTTAAAAGGTTATTAATTTTTCTATGTTTATTTCAATTATGTTGCTTTCTGATTTTTTTTTTAAAGCTAGTTACAATTTCCCTGGTCAAAAGAAATTACAAATTGTAATAGAAGTACAAGACAGAAGCAGCATTTGGATACTGGATAATCTTTTCTAGTATTTTCCTTTATGTCCTCCTGCATAGTTTCTGATGAAGAACAATCAATAGTGTATGTTCCAGGTATGATTTTCTATACTAATTTGGCAAGCTTCCTTTGCTTTTTTTTTTAATTAAGGTATCGTTGATATACACTAATCTATGAAGGCTTCACATGAAAAACATTGTGGTTACTACATTCACTCATATTATCAAGTGCCCCCCATGCCCCTTTGAAGTCACTGCCCATCAGTATAGTAAGATGCAACACTGTCACTGCTTGTCTTCTGTGCTATACTGTCTTTCCTGTGACCCCTCCACACACCATGTGTGCCAATCATGATACCCCTCAATCCCCTTCTCCCTCTCTCCCCACCCACCCTCCCCTACACCTCCCCTTTGGTAACTGCCAGTCTCTTGGAGTCTGTGAGTCTGTTGCTATTTTGTTCCTTCAGTTTTGCCTCGTTGATACACTCCACAAATGAGGGAAATCATTTGGCACTTGTCTTTCTCCGTCTGGCTTATTTCACTGAGCATAATAACCTCCAGCTCCATCCATGTTGTTGCAAATGGTAGGATTTGTTTTCTTATGGCTGAATAGTGTTCCTATGTATATATGTACCACCTCTTTATCCATTCATCTACTGATGGATGCTTCCTTTGCTTTTTTTTTTTTTTTTTTTTTTTTGCTTTTTAAGTGTTAAAAGAAAATTAAACATTAAGACAACTGTGCAAGTATCACTAGATGAACAGTTCATCAGAACTTTTTTTTTTTTCATGACCTTACTGACGTTTGAAATGATGCCCTATTTTAGGGGCTGGCTGGGCAAGTCAGTTTTTTATGAACTTGTAGAATACTTCATCATGTATTAAAGAGCAAGAGATTTTTAATTTCTGTGCTATCAATAATAGCCGAAATTTCATATTTCAAAGAAAAATGTGGGAACTTCTTGATTCGGGGTTTGTGTAATAGACTCTTTACAGTGTACTGGTTGTTACTGGTGGATAGTGAAAGAACCGTTGACGGCACCCTAATTATGAAAAATGACATCTTCAGTTTCCTCAGTGTTGAGATATGTATGGTGTGTTATATTTCATTGGTTTTATTGTGACTTATGTGTATTCACATCCCCTTTTAAAAAATATTTCAATTGAATCTTTATTCAAAATAGTCTTCACGATTCATTATTTATTAAGAGAGCTTTAAAGTGAAGTTTATAAAGTAAGTTTTTCCCAACAGATCCCATGAAGTAGAGGATATTAAGGAAAAGGTTGAGGGGGGTTTAAGAGAATGAGAACTTACAATTTTGAAATCTTGTTTGATGGAAAATCCTTAGGAATTTCTACAGGAGGAAATACCAGATCAAGACACAAGTTGAGTCCAAAAGCTGATGTTAAACTTAAGACATCGAGGGTGACTGCTACTTCCGTCTCCATGGAGTGTTTAAAAGGTACAGGAGATTCAGTGGATGAACAGGTAAGTAATTGCTTTCTTTTTTTTCTTCTATCTTTGTAAATGCTGACCAATCACTAATTTTACTGTACTGATCAATAACTTATAGATAAGGATAGAAGAGCCCATAAAAGAACATAAAGTCATCTACAGGCATTCTTAAAAAATACAGAGGATTCTAGAATACTTTGCTTGGTATGGATATACCTAGATTACTCAAAGAAAGGTTTTGCTCCAAAATGCCCAGGCTTGCTTTAAGCCTTAGTTAAGAAAAATTTATTGCCTTAGAATGTCTCAAAAGACCTACATCCTGATCTGTGTCAAGTGAGTAAATCAAATTGACAAGTGCTTTTTCCTTTATTAGGAGTCCTTTATTGTTTTTGTTCATGTGAATTTGTTAGTTGATGATGGATAAAAACCCTTGTGTATGAGATGCTTTATTAAAAGAAAATTAGCCTGCCTTATTTCCTGCACTTGGAAAATAATATCATGAAGACTCTTTCTTTTTATAACCCAGTCATTAATACCTCCCTTGTCTTTGCTTGTCATAGTATCTTTATTACTTTGGTACGTGCCCTATCTGATTGGTTTATTGTATGTTACTTTTGTTATATTTTGTCTCCCCAACCAGGGTTTAAGTAAGGGTTTGGCAATCTATAGGCCAAATCTGCTTGCTGCCTGATTTGTAAATAAAGTTTTAATTGGAACACAGCTGTGCTCATTCTTTCAATATTATCTTGTTGTTGCTTATATTAAAATGGCAGAGTTGCTACATAGACTGTATGCCCACAAAGCCAAAAATATTTACTTTTGAACCCTTTATAGAAAATATTTTTCAATCCCTGGTTTATGTTCTTGAGGACATTTCCAATATCTGATTTGTTACTAGTTATGTTTAGTAGAGTAGAGGATTTAACTATAATTAGTCCAAAAGGCCTGCTTGTACCCACTTCCCACTGGGATGTGAATAGTTGAATTTGCAGGTTTTTATCAAAAATTGAAAGTTTTTTTCATAAAATGGTTTGTTTGTTTTATATTGGACAATAGCCTTTCTTTGGATTCTATTGACTTTTTAGCAAAAATTCTTTGTTGGGCTATTTCGCTGGTCCAAAGAATACTTCTTTAACTTACATATATACATCTTTAACTTATCACAGCCTATTTTCAAGTGATATTTTCTTACTTTACCTATAATTTAAGGACTTTCAACAGTCTATGACCTGACTTTTGCGATATTATCATAAATTTTACTACTATAGACCTCTAAATATATTACTACTTTTGCCTTACACAATCAACTTTTAAAAAATTGATGTATAATTCACATATCATAAAATTTATCCTTTTAAATTGTACAGTTCATTATTTTTTTGCTTATTCACAGAGCTATGGCTCTGTCACCACAATCTAATTCCAGAACATTTTTATATCCCAGAAAAATACTCTGTATGCTTTAGCAGTTACTCCCCATTCCCCTTATCCCCTAGCAACCACTAATCTACTCTTAGTCTCTATAGATTTGTCTATTCTGGACATTTCATATAGAAAGAATCATATAATATATGGCCTTCTGTGACTGCCTTCTTTCACTTAGCATAACAATTTCAAGATTCATCTATGTTGTATCATGTATCATTATATTACTTTTTATGGCTGAATAAATATTTTGTATATCCATTCCCCAGTTGAAGGACATTTGGGTTGTTACACTTTTTGGCTATTATGAATAATGCTGTTTTGAACATTCAAGTACAATTTTTTGTGTGGATACATGTTTTCACTTCTCTTGGGTATAAACCTAGAAGTAGAATTGCAGGGTCATGTAGTAATACTATATTTACCTTTTGATAATTGCCAGAGTGGCTACACCATTTTATGTTACACCAGCAGTGTATGAGGATTTCAGTTTCTCCACATTCTCACCAAGACTTTATGTCTGTCTTTTATATTATAACCATCCTGGTGAGTATGAAGTGGTATCTCATTGTGGTTTTGACTTGTATTTCCTTAGTGACTAATTATGATCATTTTATGTACTTTTTGGCCACTTGTATATGTTCTTTAGAGAAATATCTATTCAGATCCTTTTCAGTTGTGTTATTTGTCTTACTGATGAGTTATAAAAATTCTTTGTAAATTCCATCTCCAAGTCCTTTATCAGATACATGATTTGTGAATAGTTTCTCCCATTCTGTGCATGTCTTTTCACTCTTATTGGCATCCTTTGAAGCATAAATTTAAAAAATTTGGATGAAGTCCTACTTGTCAATTGTTTTCTGTTGTTGTCTGTGCTTTGCTGTCATTTCTACATTTGAAATCATTGCCCAAGCCAAGGTCTCAAAGATTTATACCAGTTTTTTCTTCTTAAAGTTTTTTCATAGTGGATATTACATTTAGTCTTTGATCCACACTGTGTGTATTGGATGATTTTGCCTTTTTGCTCAACATAAGTTCATGAAATTTATGTATGTTGTGTATAGTTGTATTTCATTGCTTTTCACTGATATTTCAATCAGGGTTTAGTCAGTGATCTGAACTGAGAATATTTAATGTAAAGACCTTTCGGTGCTGGACAACTGAAAAGACTAAAGTGTTTTGTTTGTAATAACTGCAAGAAGCAACTACCATCCCTAGGGCTGGGAGAACAGGCAGAACAAGTTGGAATTATTAAAACTTAGAAACTTGGAGGAGTAGCCCCTCAGGGCTGGCAGTTGGACCTCTGGTGATGCGGAACCAGGCTAACCAGTACTGGTATCCCTAGGTGACATAAAAACTGGTTCCACAGGGGCTGGAAAACTTGCCAACTGGAATCAGCTGTTTTTGCTAGGGTGAAGTGAAGAACTGACAGGGTGACACCAATGGGAACAGGAAGCATATAGGAATTAATGAGTATTTTCTTCCTCTAACAACTTCTAGTCTCTTAGTTCTTCCTTTTGACAGAGTATAACAGAAAGGCATGTGGCAAAGGTGAAATGAGGTTTCCAGAGTCTCAGCCTCAGATTACAAAGCAGAGTGTGGTAGGTTTGGTTTGAAGATGAAAGTTAATAGCATAACAACCAGTACCTTCAGAATTCCATTGTATAAATTTACCACAATTTATTGTTTAGTTGAAAAACATGTGTTTTCAGGTTTCTGTTAAATACATTGGTTTTAAAATTCTGCCTTTGTGCAAGGGTTTCTCTTGTTTGTTCTTATACTCAGTGCACCACTACTGAATGTCTTTTCCTGGATTTTCAGCAACTTCTCCCATTGCGAAATCCAGTGATTCTTTTCACATTCTGTTTAGCTTTTATGATCATTAGCACTGTTAATGCCATACTCTTCTTAAAACTTATATTGCTCCCACAGTATTACATGCTTCTGATTCTCCTTTTTAAATACCAGTTTTAATGTATTTCTTGAATTTGTAGCTGATTCTCAAAAAGATATTTTTTCTTTAAGGAAAAACCTCAAATATAGTAAAGTATAACGAAAATAATAAAACTCTTAATATCATTCATGTTACCATATAGGTGAATTTTAAATGTTTGTTTTTCTCTGACTGTGAGAGCCAGATGACCATTTCCATTTTCCTGCGTAAACATTTCCATATGAATTGAATTTCATCTTATCTTAAATTGACTGTATTTAAAACCAAACCCCTTTTATTTTCTTACCATCTCCTCTTTCCCATTTCCTTTTTCTCCCCTGCTTTTTCCATGTTTGGCTATCAGTATTTACAAGAATCATTTTAGAGGTCCTGAAGTATTTGGACTTGCCTACTTTGTGGTTGCACAAATGCCAAGGATCCTTTCCTTTTACATGTTTCTTTTTTCTTTTCTTTTTTTAATTAAAGTATACAATTTTATGAAGGTTTTACATAAATAGCATCGTGGTTTCAACATTTATCCATATTATCAGTTCCTAATGCCCCTGCCCATTGCAGTTACTGTCTTATCAGCGAGGTAAGATATTATAGTTATTACTTGTCCTCTCTGTGCTGTACTGCCTTCCCTGGGACCTACCTATATTGTGAGTGCATATTATAATGCCCCTTAATCCCCTTCTCCCTCCCTCCCTACCCACCATCCCCAACCCCTTCCCTTTGGTAACTGCTAGTCCCTTCTTAGAGTCTGTGAGTCTGTAAATCTGCTGCTGTTTTGTTCCTTCAGTTTTGCTTCGTTGTTACACTCCACAAATGAGGGAAATCATTTGATACTTGTCCTTCTCTGCCTGGTTTATTTCTCTGAAGCATAATAACCTCTAGTTCCATCTATGTCATTGCAAATGGTAAGATTTGTTTTATTTTTATGGCTGAATAATTTTCCATTGTGTGTATATACCACAACTTCTTTATTCATTCATCTGTTGATGGACATGTAGGTTGCTTTCATATCTTGGCTATTGTACATAGTGCTGCAATGAACACAGGGGTGCATGTGTCTTTCTCAATCAGGGATCTTGTTTTCTTCAGGTATATTGCTAGGAGTGGAATTACTGGGTTAAATAGTATTTATATTTTTAGTTTTTTGAGGAACCTCCATATTGCTGTCCACAATGGTTGACCTAATTTACATTCCCACCAGTAGTGTAGGAGGGTTCCCCTTTCTCTGCTTCCTCAACAGCATTTGTTGTTTCTTGTCTGTTGGATCTTGGCCATCCTAACTGGTGTGAGGTGATATCTCATTGTGGTTTTAATTTGCATTTCCCTGATAATTAGTGATGTGGAGCATCTTTTCATGTGCCTTGTTCGCCATTCAAATTTCTTCTTTGGGAAGTGTCTGTTTAGCCCTCTGCCCATTTTTTAATCTGGTTGTTTTTATTGTGTTGAGGTTTCTGAGTTCTTTATTTTGGATGTTAACCCCTTGTTGGAAAAGTTGTTTATAAATGTATTCTCCCATACTATAGGATGCCTTTTTGTTCTGCTAATGGTGCCCTTTGCTATACAGAAGCTTTTTAGTTTCATGTAGTCCCACTTGTTCATCTTTCATTTTGTTTCCCTTGCCCAAGGAGATGTGTTCAGGAAAAAGTTGCTCATGTTTATA